AACATCTTTGTTTGTATGTGGTGCTGAGGATCGAACCCAGGCCGCACGCATGCCAGGCGAGTGCGCCACCGCTTGAGCCACATCCCCAGCCCAAACGATGATATTTAGTTGTCATTTTCATCACAGATTAAAATATATCCCCAATACTTGGCAGATAGGCATCTATCAGAGATAATGTTTTATAGCGAGGGCAAGACATTTAGAAAATACCACAGAGAACATGTGCACCAACTATTTAAGCATAATGGTTAGCTGTGACCTCTCATTGTAACTTTAAGTGATCACCAGTCTCTAAATCCATAGGGACCTATTTTTCAATATGTAGCTTAATGTAGTCTTTGGAAAAATAGAAGTTTATTATGCCACACCAGGAAGTGACTTGGGGAGGTCAAGTGTTGGATACTAATTTTGGACTTATTAACTTTAGGTGACCACAAATATCTTAGGTGACCTTTATAAGAGGCTGTGCTGATTGATCATCAGCCTCTGTATTAACTTGAATCTTGAAATGACACTCATTTTATAAATCCATAGGGTCCAGTTTCTGGATATTTAGCCTAATGTATTGTGCTATAGGGCATTTAAAATGCTGCGATCTATTACTTGCAAATTTTGGTTCCAAAGGAAAAAAGACTTCCAGGAGGAAAAGTAAACTGTAGTACTATTCAAGATTTGAATAAAGATGTAAACCCTAAAATATGTACTGAGATGAAGTTTCAGAAAAAAGGAATCTAGTTTGATGCCTCTTAATGTGTAATTAGGAATTCATATAGAAAGATGAGCTATTAAATAACTAAGTCAGACTTTAAATTGAGTAATTGATATAGCCTTTTGAAGTTAGGTAAATTTTCTCTTGTTTATGTATATGAAACTCATAAACATTTGAATTTGTACTCTAGCATTCAGTTGGTGACTGTAATATTGAAATTCTATGCCTGCATGTAAAATAGAGTGATCAGGTAAAGTTATCACCTGTGTTCTTTCTCTATAGGTGGTGATCCACATTTACCAAGGCTTTTTTTTTTTTTAAATATCAGGGATTGAAACCACAGAAGCTTAACCACTGAGCCATATCCCCAGCCCTTTTAAATATTTTATTTAGCGACAGGGTCTCTCTGAGTTACTTAGGGCCTCTCTGAGTTGCTGAGGTTGGCTTTGAACTTGCAGTCCTCCTACCTCATCCTTCCAAGTTGCTGGAATTATAGGTGTGTACCACCACAGCCGGCCCAAGAACCTTTTTTTTTCCCCCCTCTTTGAGTAATTTCAGTAACAATGGGATATCAGAAATGCCCCCTTCTGGTCTTGCTTATTGTTGATATCACTTAACTGTTGCTTTGCATATGTTCTCAGCCTACCCAGTAGATACCATTAGTGGTAAGGATGCCAGAAACCTCAGATCCTTTTGTTGGATCAGTAATGGGGTACAAGAAATAGAAAAGGATTTTTTCATTTAAGACTATATCTATTCAGAATATTATAATCATGGATTAAAATAATGGAGCATATGAACCTCAACTTTATGATTTAATGACCTGTGTACTGCTGAATTTTATTGGGCAAGGAAAGTTTGGTTCTGTGTTTTAGGGTTCTGTGTCTTAGTCTTTGGGTTATCAAAGGTGGGGAGAGGAGTTCTGTACTTGTGAGAGTAACTGGGTACATCCTCACCTAGGTGGTTTTGTATAGTTCATATATAACTATGTTATTCTGCTCCAGATTTCCCCAAACTCTTCTAATTGACTTGTGTAACTTAACAAATCCTTATTATCTTACTTTGCTTAAATGTGTGTCAATATGATTTTTATATTTTGGTTTGCTGGAATAGGTACACATATCTATGTATAGTTATAATCAAGATACTAAGTAGTTTTATGTCTTTACTGTGCTATGCTAGGTGCTTTACATGCATTATCCCATTTATTCCCCCAAACAACAAAAGAGCTTCTGTTACTGCTCATATTTTACAGAGGGAGAAACTGAGCACAAAGTGTAAAATAAGGTCACAATAGCCAGGAAAAAGTAGACTAGGATAGTTAAATCCAGATTTCTGTGATTCTAAAGCTCAAACACAACATATTAACTCATACTGTTTCCTTTGTGCTTAACTTTCAAGTCAGATTGTTAATGAAAATAATTCAAATCAGATTGTTAATGAAAGTAATGTGTCTGATAGGTAGAACTCTTAACTTTACTACCTGTACCAGCAAATTTTCATGTGACTCTAACCCACATAAAGAATGCTCCAATTTCTTATTTTACTCTTGTAGGAACTGAAAGATGTGGGCCATCGTGATCAGATGGCCGCAGCTAGAGGAATCCTGCAGAAAAATGTTCCGATCCTCTATACTGCATCCCAGGCATGCCTACAACATCCGGATGTCGCAGCCTATAAGGCCAACCGGGATTTGATATACAAACAGCTTCAACAGGCAGTCACAGGCATCTCCAATGCAGCCCAATCTACCGCATCAGATGATGCCTCCCAGCATCAGGGTGGAGGAGGAGGAGAATTGGCATATGCTCTCAATAACTTTGATGTAAGTTACACTTGAGAGGAAACTTAAGACTCTCACCAATCTGCAAAAGATGACACTTAGATTTGTGATACAAGTAGAAGAATCATCAGTCTACTTAATCATGACTTGGTTTAAAGCATTTATCTTTTTTCTTAGCTTGGATTGAATTTCGGGATTCATTTTTGCAACAAGTATTTCCTATGAGGGCATTCTTATTTTTTTTCTCTTCCTTTTTTTTGGTTCTGAGAATTAAACCCAAGGGCTACATCTCCAGCTTCCCTACCCCCCACTTAAAATTTTTTTTTAGTTGTTGATGGACCTTTATTTTATTTATATGCGGTGCTGAGAATCCAAYCCAGTGCCTCACACATGCTAGGCTAGTGCTCTGCCAATGAGCTACAACCCCAGACCTCCAGCCCTTTTTATTTTGAGATAAGGTCTCACTAAGTTGCTGAGAGCCTCCCTTACTTATTGAAGAAATCCTCAAACTTGTGATCCTCCTGCCTCAGCCTCCCTAGTCACTAGGATTAAGGATGTGTGCCACTGCACCTGGCTATGATATCATTGTTTTTTATTTTTAAATTTTCTTTTCAGATGTTAATGGACCTTTATTTTATTCATTTATTTATGTGGTGCTGAGAATTGAACCCAGTGCCTCACACATGCTAGGCAAGCACTCTATCAATGAGCCCTAGTCCCAAGATCATTCTTTATTGAGGATATGAATCTAGTTCATTTTATCCAAGATTTTGACCTTCTGGAAGATTCATGAAAATATTGGAAATAGAGCAGCAATGTATGCAGAGGTTTTGTCCCCTAAGAGATCATGGTCTAGTGGTGTATTCAGATATATCATAGTGACTGCTGCCATCTTAATCTTATTTGTCTGCCTAGATGTACTTCTCAGTGACTTTAATTTGAATCATGAACATAAAATTTAATCAAGTGGAAGCAGATTTTGAAATTWACATAATACCACATATTGTGTATATATACAGCCCCGTGTATATGACTCTAATGTTAACTTCTTTGGTGGGTTTTGTTTTTAATTCCTACCCACACTGCTTCATGGCTTCCAGTAGATGGCAGCAGTTTAAGATTTCTTTTTTTAAAGGGTATTTTGTTTTGTTTTAAACCCAATTGTTGGGGTAATTTTTCTTTTTTTAAATTTTAAATTAAGGTAAAGGAAACCAGTGTCCTTTCAGAATAGAAATATTCAGGATATAGAATCAATACAAGGAGTGTGTATTTTGTTTTTAACATTTTTTTTCTTTGCCTTAATGTTTTCTTTGTCTGATCCTTTAGGCTTGGGTAACTGATCCTTGCTGGTGTGTGTGACTGATTTAGGATGGGCTTTTCATGAAGCATGAAGGCAGTGTTAAGCCTAAAGACCATGATATTAGAATTGAAATTTTACCCTGGACCCTTAAACATGACATAAAATACCCATTTATAAGGAACTCTCAGGCTGCACCTATAACTTACTGGAACTGTTGTTTTCTCCTCTTCCAATTTGACAGTATTAGGTATTTATCTCTTTCAAGTTAGTAGGGGTCACATTTTACCCTAAGTTATTAAGTAATATCACTTAATTTCTTAGAATCACTGTTTCTTCATTTGTAAATGAGGGGTTGTCCTAAATGATCTCAGGCCCATTGTGGCTCCATGATTGTATTACAATTCTATGTTCATCCATTCTTCATTTCTATTGGCCAGAAAGTATTTTGTATTCAGTTTTTAATCAGAGAAATCCTGTAATACAAATTTGGTAAGAAAATTGTTAAGTAAAATGGTGGATTAATAATAAATTTAAAGTATTACATGTTCAATTTTAAAACTGAGGTTTCTTTGGAAGGAAATGAAAAAATATTTACTCATTTGAAAAGATCAAGCTTTTTGTAGGAAAAAAATTGGCATTTAAATTGAAATTAATATGGACATAATCCCTATAGTAGAAAAAAAATTGGTATTTAAGTTGAAATTAATAAGGACATAATCCTTATGAAGAAAAATTAAAGCCAAAGTAATTTGCACAGAAGGTTACCATTGTGAGTGTAAATTGTATCAAGTGGGGACATAGATGGTCGAACTTGCACCTGTAGCTTACTTGTATTTAGACCACACTCACTGGCAAAACTCTGTGGAGTCAGGAGGGAAGGGGAGATGACAAGAATTGGTTTTTAGTGGGGCAGTTATACCTCTTGCTATCTTAGTGCATACTTGTGGTCTTTGAGGAGGAAAGTTTCTAATTTAGACACAATAGGATACATTTGAGACCAGTTGTTTATAAATCTTGATTAGATGTATAAGGAGAGAAGTAGATGGAAATTAATTTTAATAAATGCATTTCTTTCTGAAATTTTGTGACAGAAGTCAATTTTGTTTTTATTTTTAAATATTTTTGTGTAGAACAATTTTGCTACTCATGTAGCCATTTTATACTTTGAATGTAAGAATGATAAATTATTTTTATAATTCTTATTTGATAATATGAATTACTAATACAGACTGACCTTTAGCTGTTTTCGAAAAAGTAGTGTGAACATAATACAGTTGTATTTGCATTTGTGGTATACCTTACTGCTTGGCTGGATAGTGCCTTTTTTGAAAAGTGATTTATCATAGACCAACTTATAGGATGGCTCTTTAGCTACCAAGAAGAATAACTTTCTATTAGGTATTAGAATTAAATCTTGATATTCCTAAACACTTCCCCTTGCCTTGAATGATAAAGGGAACAGAGATGAGCATTCATATTCAATAATACTTTCTTGACAGAAACAAATCATAGTGGACCCCTTGAGCTTCAGTGAAGAGCGCTTTAGGCCTTCCTTGGAGGAGCGCCTGGAAAGCATCATTAGTGGAGCTGCCCTGATGGCTGACTCCTCCTGCACACGTGATGACCGTCGTGAGCGGATTGTGGCAGAATGCAATGCTGTCCGCCAGGCCCTGCAGGACCTGCTCTCAGAGTACATGGGCAATGTGAGTGTCAGAACCTTTCTTTAACGTAAGATAGTTGTGTCTGAGGAATTTTTCTATCACATTGTGAATATGAGATGTATTAACTATTAATTTCAAATATTTCTTTTTTTGGGGTGGGTCAGATTTTTTAAGGAGTGGCTAAATAATTTTCTAAGTCACCCTTTCCTCCCCATAGTTTTATATGGAAAAATTTATACTTAAAGAAATCATATAGTGAGTACCTATATATCCTTTATCTAGATTCATCAATTAATGTGTAGGTACATTTGCTTGTGTGTGTATAAAAAAAAATACACCCTTGTTCTCTGAAACATTTGGAAGTAACTTGCATACATTGATTTTCCACCTCCACCCATTTCRGCATGCATTTTCTAAGGATAATGACCTTCTATACCACTAAAATTTCCTTATTGTAACTCGATGGTCAGATAAGTTTAGGCAAGAGCAAATGGTAAAAATCCATTTCTTAAATGTTTGTGGTTTATGAAACTTTTTTCATGAACCATATAGAACTCTGTAAGCATGTATAATTTTTAAAATAGAGCCATATGAGGCAGACTGGGTAATGTTTTTGAATTTTTAAGGTTTGTAATTAAAAACAGTGCTGTGAAATTTGACACTTGATTTTTTTTTTTTTTGCCATAGAATATATTGAACTTGTTGGTTTTTCTCTGTTATCCTGTCTTTCTTTTTCCTTCCTAGTTATTTTTGTCTTCTAGTTCAGTTATTTAATGTTAACTTAAGGCACTGTAGTTTAGATCAAGTACCCAATAATTTGCTGATATAAGGAAGGAATAAGTTAAATAAAAATTATATAAAATTATTCAAAAACATTTTTTGGTACTGGGAATTTACCCCAGGGGTACTTTACTATTGAGCCACATCCCCAGCTCTTTTTATTTTTCATTTTGAGAAAGGGTCTCACTAAATTGCTGAGGGTCTTGCCGAATTGCTGAAGCTGGCGTCAAGCTTGTGATCCTCCTGTCTCAGCCTTCTGAGTTGCTGGGATTACAGGTGTGTGCCACATCTGGTTATAAAAAGTTATTTTAAAGAGAAAATGGAAAATACAAGTTAGCTGTCATCACTACAGGTTCTGTTTTGCCTATTTATAACTCTTTGGAGAAAGACCTTGATCCTTTTTTCATTTGTTCATTTGATATACTTCTTGTTTGAATGGGTAATGTTGAGTCATAATGGAATTCCTAGGGTGAAGATGAATGCCTTCCTGTGTTTATTGTGTTTCTACAGTATTTYGAAATTAGTGAATCGTATTGAATCGTTTTAAATCATTGCTATGTTTCGATCATATTAGAGATTTAGTAGATAAAAGGGAAAAAGTGATAAGTCATCTGAAATGTAGGGCACATTTAAAAATCCATATTAATGCTTGAAGATTAGAAAATATGAAAAAATGATGGGTTGAAGAATGGCTTACAGTTGTTGGAGTCATAAATGGGAGAGCAAGGACTCATAGTATATATGTGGATCTGTTGTTCTGTGTAATGCTGGAAGTGGTGCAGAAGTGCCCAATACATTATGATTAGGAAACTGCTTTAAAAAACAGCCTTTGGTGAGGAAGAGAATGTGATAAATCTGCAGAGCTTCCTAACCCATCTATAAGACTAGTACTGGGGTTGCTCAGGCTCTCTGGCCATTTACTCCATTCATGAGTAACTTTCTGGCTTTTCCCTAGAATGTTATACAAATCCCTGTAATATTTGGTCTTCATACCATAAATGTAGGAAAAGGTGTGGAATACTAATTTATACTGAAAACATGGAGCCTCTAATATAGCACTCTTTTTTAAAAAATAAAGATGGACACAATATCTTTGTTTTAATTATTTTTTTATATGGTGCTGAGATCGAACCCAGTATCTCACAAGTATGAGGCAAGCGCTCTACTGCTGAGCTATAATCCCAGCCCCTAATATAATACTCTTAAGCAAAAAAAAAAAAAAAAAAAATTGAACCATGCTTGATGGTTGTGTCTTATTGAAATATAAGTACTGTGGAGGGTGTCTTGAAAGAAATCTTCTTGAGATTCAGAAATGTATTTTAGGAGTTGGTTTCCAGTTATGTTTCTCCTAATAGTAAGAATCTTTAGTTTCCTTTTTATTTATTTATGTAAAATGAAGAAACTTCAGTCTTCCAAGAAGCAATGGAGTGAGGATAAAAGGGGAAGGCAATGGTATTCACTCAGAAGAGAGCGTAGAGTGGTAAAAGGGTCTGAAGAAACAGAAGCAACTGAGGATAGATTTTTTTGCTTATTTGTGAAGCATTTAGAAACACTCTCTAGTGACAATCAGAACATAACTGGCCATCTCTGCCTGTCACTCAGTTCACGTACTCAATGTGAAACACATGCAAAGCAGTGTAAGAGGAGAAATGAGGCTGTGACCCCTCCTGTCTGGAATAGGCAGAGTCTCTGTAGGGCGTTTAATGGGAGTGTCATCACAACTAAAGTGCCATGGGAATTGCAAGGAGTAGGGGATTATTTCTAGCTGGGAAATCCAAGAGGCTTCCTAGGAGATACACACACACACACACCTTTTTTTTTTTTTTTTTTGGATATTGGGTATTGAACCCATTGGTGCTTAACCACTGAGCCAGGTCTCCAGTCCCCTTGCCCCACTATAAATTTTATTTAATTAGAGACAGGGTCTTGCTAAGTTGCTGAGACTGGCTTTGAACTTGCCTTTGAACTTTGAACTTGCCATCCTTCTCCCTCAGCCTTCCGAGTGTTTGCCTGGCAGATTTATATACTTATGTTTGAATTCTACCTTAAATTTTAAAATAATGGTTTAATTTAACTTTTATCAATTCTGTTGAAAATATTAGACAAATAATTACCATATGTGGAGAATTTAAATGACCTGCATTAAGCATGCTTTTACTGAGAGGTACTCAGTAAAAGCATGCTTAATGAGCTCATGCTGACTTGTTCATTATGGGGATCTATGTAGACCAAGTGATAAAGTCTAGAAAGGCTGGCCTATTTGCACTGTTTCATTCTTTGGATTCTCTCGTTAATATCGTTTTTATAGTCGTATCCTTGTCATAATCTCTGAGTTTTTGTTTTTCCTTCTGTTGTATCAGTTACCAAGTTCCACTAGTTTTTCTTATGAGGCAGTGATGCACATTAGAATTCCAGGGGAACCTTAAAAATCCTGATGTCTGGGGGCTGGGGATAAAGCTCAGTTGGTAGAGTGCTTGCCTTGCATGCCTAAGGCCCTGGGTTCAATCCCCAATGCCAACAACAACAAAAAATCCCGATGTCTGGGTTATACCCCAGACCAACGAATTCAGAATCTCTGGATCAGGGTCCAGATAATAGCATTTCAAAAGCTTTCAGATGACTCCATTTTGTAACTGAGGTAGAGAAGCTGCTCTATTTATTCTATTTGTTTATTTCTATCCATTACCATTGCCTTACTTGAAGATTTCCTCACTTTCTCTGTTTCCCTCCCTCATTTGGCCTACTTAGGCTAGGCCAAGCTCATGTCCTCAGTAGGACATTGTTCATTGTATTCTTGAGATTCCTTTTCTTCCTGTTTAATTCTAATCTGCTCTTCCTCAAATTCCCACATTTCCTCCCCTCTCTTGTCGTTTCAAATTGAACCATCCTACATTATTTCTTTGGTGCTTGAAGTTTTGTATCTAATTATGTACTTCCTTGAACTTTCTCTTAATTATATTTCCTTTTCCCATATTATTTCTGCAAAAAGGTTTTAAGCTATTGGAAGACTGAACTCTAAAATTATACTTTCATGGTTAGTATAATGCTAGAAGAGGTACTCAGTAAAAGCATGCTTAACGAACTCATGCTGACTTGGGAAAGTGAATAAAATGAACAATTTTGGATATTCATAGTGCTCAGGATACCATATTGGAAGAAAAAGCTAAAGATTTTGCCCTTATGGGCTTTGTATTCTAGGAGGGTGGCAAGGATCTGAGTAGTTTACCTCAATTTCCATAATCTTCTATTATACAGATGGTATTTTTAGAAAAAAATTAAACTAAATAATCTGAAATAGCAATTAGTGAATGAGATATCTTAGATCAGGTTGGAGTAAAATTTTAATTCCTCAAGTGAAGATCAGATTTCTTTTCAAAGGCTCCAAAGGATCAGGAGACCAGAGCATTAATGTTTCTGTTGGCATTATGGTTTGAAGAGTTGAAGGGTAGTTAGGTAGTTTTGACTCCATACCTAATTAACTGTGTAGGCCCTAAGTGATATTAATGTAAAGTTAATACATTTAACTGAGGTCTCAACATAATAGAAATTCCACCCTTTAGTGGGTGAATTCTTGTAGTTTTATAAATGATTATCTAGTTTCCTTGAAATGAAATTTGGGTTATTGTGGTCAAGTTTAATTTGCTTCTGGTCTATCAGCCTAAAGTTGCTCTAGGTTTGAGATTTCTAGAGAAAGAAAAGCAGTTTTGAATGTATGTCATAGTCTTAAAAGGCTTAAAAGTGAAACAGATTGAAATTAAAATGAAATGTAATTAAATTTGAAAATAGTTGTTACCGTTTTATTCCATATAGAAGCCTAAAATATTTATTAAACCAGGGTTTACAATCTACTGTCATGTTAAGGAGTTAAAATTTCTTTTCTTTGAATATGTAGCTGATTAGTAGTTGCCCAGTTGTGTGTTGAAATGTTCTCTGGAGTTATTTCAGTGCCTATGAAAAACCTTCTGAAGGATCTTACACTTTGTACAGCTGAATTCTTTATCTAATAGTTGTCATTATGCCTTTATCTAATAGTTGTCGTTGTGCTAAAGGGGATGTTGACCTTGTTATGCATCTTTCTTCCTTTTTAGGGTATGTTTTTCTAATAGTAGAACTTATTGAACAAGTTTGTTCCTGTTATTATACCCTTCAATTCCTGACTCCTCTTAAAACAAATGCTACCTCCACTGATCTGAAAATGCATAACACAATGTCTGAAACATAAAGGACCCTTGATCTTTGAAATGAATTCCATTTGGTTTTTA